ATTGGAAGAAATTGGAAAAAAGGAACTTGGAAACCATCCATTAACAAAATGTAAATTGTCTAAATCTTAGTAATTTATAGTACTCAACCTTAAGATGGATCGATCATGTATAGATCATGAATGTCCTTACCAACTAACTAGTATAATTGATTTTGGTCCAAGTGCATTAGTGAAAGAGTTATCTAAACAAAACTTAACAGTATTTATATTTTTCTTCTATTTCTAATAAGTGAAACTCTCTAAATTCGTATATAATAATTATAAGTATCCGACCGTGTTGGGAAACTACAAGAAAATGGAGACTGGAAACATGACAAAAGGGATTTAAAAACGAATTTGGTCTCTGGTGCTGAAGAGAAGAAACCATACTTGCAATGCAAGTATCCATTGCATTACCATATTGCACAATCCCATACTCATTCCAATGTCTAAAAGAACACGACGTGGATCTTTCCTACTCTTCCTCATTTACAATCTTGTAAAAACTGAAATGTTCGACTTTAAACTTCCACTCGCCTTTCACATCATAAGCAGTTAAGTCTCTGCTTTCTTCTTCAACATTTCATTAAACTTCTCAACCCTTGAGCCTTCCTTCAACTGTTTTCCGCTCTTCTTATCGATACGTTTTAGGTTCAACAAAGTTACCTCGGCAGGCTTATTCAAGCATTGACCTACTGGTGGTTTTGTAATCTCGTCCATGTACACATTCACTTCGCGTTTATTGAACTGAACCAACGATTCGAGGTCGAGCCTACCCACTAACTTTTCATAAGAGGTAAGATTGTTTTTAGATTGTGAAGGGATAAGAGAGAGGAGAAAGATCCTTTACTCTCTTGTGTTATGTATTTATAACATTTATTATCTCATTACCATTTTAATTTGGAAAGTTTCTTCGAACATATAAACTTTTTACCGTAATGTCGAGCTCTTGAGTCTTTAGGTCTTCTTTGCCTCCGTTTATTTTTTTATTGGAATATTTGGTCTGTTTTTAGATTACAAGATTTTTTGTTATGTTCGATGTTACTTATGGTAATTTGGAATATAAAGAGACGATAATAAAATAAAATTCTCTTGAAATTCAAGATATTATTCCAATCAAATTAGAAGAACAAAAAAAAACCAACTCCAAGGAAAAAGAACACTTAAACTAGAATAATATAAAATCCAAAACATATTAAAGCAACTTAAAATAGGCCAAAACAACAACAGTAATGAAGATGTAAGCATAACATGTATGCTACATCACATGAATCATTGTGGACTTTACGGTTACGGTTGCAGCGGTATCTGGTCATAATTGAGAACAATGAATTTGTTGAGTTTGTGATCCCAAACGAGCTTAAAAAGGTCGCCTTCTTGGAGATCCATTGAATGCTTTATAGTACTCCAACCATCCCCGAAATAATACCTGGTGTTGTCACGTGGTATATATCGGTTTCCATAATGTCGACAACTTCCACTTCAATACCGTTTTGCAACTTCTCAGGTGTAGCATCATTCATCATCGTGAGGACGGACATTACTTGTTTTGCCGGTAATGTTATATTACCAGTAACATCAATCTTGGTTAGAGTTTTTGATATAATCATAGTAGGATCAACTGGTATGTCGAAATAACTCATCTTGATGAAAAGATTTTCTTTTGAAAGTAGAAGAATAGTTTCTTTGTATATTTCTCTGTGCTCTTAGACGCAAACTTATATATATATATATGAGGCTGAACCTACGAAGAATGGAAATACAAGAGAATAGAAATTTCCGAAGAAATCGGAATTCTTTCATTAACAAAATGGAAAAATGTCTTCTTCTTTTCTAGTCAATCAAATGAAATTGTCTTTTTGATTTTGTCAATCAAATGGAAATTCTCTATTTCTCTAGTAGTTCCTTCTTCCTAGTAGCCGACCATATATGGTGGGGGTAAAATGACAAATATTACATTAACAAATTTACTGTATTTGTGTATGCAAAATAACTTAGCTATAAACTTAAAATTATAATTTGATTAATCTTATTTACAAATACATACAGTTAACGTTAACCAGATCATCCCATGCTTCCACCAGTGATGTAACACAGTTGGTTCATGCATTATATTTGCTAATCTCTCTGAGCTAAAACTGTTCCTTATAGATAAGCTCCCGAGAGAACAACAGCTAAGGCAATGCTTCAAGCAAAGAATTGGTGTTTCGATGATCTCCATGTTTATTCAGACTCTCATATAGTCATCAATCTACTCACCATAGGCAAAAATTACAATCACCTTCTACACGATATCCATTCTCTGGCTGTTTCATTTCTTTGATTTCCTTTACTTCTAAATAAAGTTTCCAACGTTCTTGATCAAAAAAAAAAAAAAAATCAGAAGAACGTTTTGGTTTGCTAAAACAAATATTTTAGCCCATCTTTATATCAGAATTGTTCCTTTTAAATTAAATAGTACCTTACAGTATTCATTACTCAAACT